AGAACGCCTGGTAATTAGCCACTCGTTGTCCTGACACCCTAAACCCCTCAATCTAAACCCTTATAAACCCTAAACCCTAAACCAAACCCTAAACCCCTCAATCCCAAACCTGCAAACTCAGCGCATGCACCCTGGGCTGTGGGATGGTCGAGGGGGACGGGCCGCCAAGTGCCAGCGCCATGCCCGGGAGCCCTCGGGTGCTTCTCTAGGGTTTAGGGTTTAGGGTTTTCTGTTATGAGGGCTTTTGTGCGACTGATAAGCTTTATAAGATAGAGCTTGCATTTACGATTTGGCGTAGGGTTGCTTATTAGGGTTCTTCATATAGGGTTCCATGAGGGTTCTGGTAGGGACAGAAACTATGGGCTCCTTGACAGTTTATTGGGAATCTCAGATTTGGACGCTCGCAAGTCGAATGCAGCAGGAAAAAAGGGCCCCTATATTTCCGGGATTCAGATTCAATGCCTTCGCCACGGGGATCGTTCCAGTCTCGGGTCCGTAAGAATGTATCTGCAAAAAAAACTGTCTAGACTGTGGGATGTTTGGAAGGCTCCCTCGACCCTGATGCTTGGCAGCAACCGGCCAAAGCAAACAGTGTAGGCAGGCAGCTTCAGAACAAGCTGTCGACCCTTTGCTTTCATGTCACGCGCATCGCCATGACGAAATGAAATCTGCGCCCATGCTTTCCAAACCCCAAGGTTCCATTTTGAACATTTTGGTATCTGTGATAGTTGCCTTCTCGAGTTGCGCTTCTGCCCATGTGCAAGTTTCTGCGTGTGTGCGCTTGAATCAGCTACTGGAAGTACCTCGAAAGCCCAGAACACCGTCGCTTCCTGCATGTGCTTTAACTTCCGAGCTCCAAACTCTGCGACCTGCAAGACCGGCCACTCAACGTGCCAGAAGCACAGAAAGAACAGCAAACAAAGTGAGCCACATGCACGCGTACACACATGTGTGTATGCGTATCTAAGGTTGAAACCATTGGGCCCCGAGTATTGGCCCTCAACCCTGGGATCCCTATACACCTACTATATACACTATATGTACCCTGAACGGTCCCTAGAAAGTCCTAAGGGTCCATATTAGGGGCCCATACTTCGTATGCTGAGAACAAGCATGATCATTATGGTGTTCATCTCCTGCCAAAGCCAAGATCCCAATCAACTCCGGAAATGGGAGTTTCCGAAAATAGGGGTATATACCTTATTTTGGGGGGTCCTTATAATAAGGGTCCTACTATTTAGGGTACTATATTAGGGTCCCCTATTTTCGGAAACCCCCAAATGTCGGAATTGCCTCGTCCCACAGCAAACACGTGAAGCTGCTGGCTGCTTGATCCCGTGGCTATGGGCCAGCGCGAAGCGATTTCTGAGATGGTAGAAGGGCCCATGACAACGTGATAACCTGAGCCCTGGATGGCCCTGACCCGACACCTTTCAGATACCTTGCAGTTCGCTATAGAAACACAGCAGACTGAGCTCTACCCGGGCCTCCAGGACTTGCATTGTCCGAAAGATGGCCGGCAGAACATCACCTGACTGCTGATCCCCAGCCGGAGCCTCTTGAGGTTGCCGGCCAGTAGTAGAACTTCCTCAACCCTAAACCCTAAAATAAGTCGCAAAGTGTCCGAAGCTCCAGGTGAAAGCTCTGTGCCCAAAGAGTCAAACCTCTGATTTCCCACTTCAGTAAGAGTTCGCCCTCATAACATCCAACCTCCCTTCGCCCCTAAACCCTACTTCGATTCCAGCTCTTTGCTTTTGTTTTGTCCCTTTGTCCCTAAACTTGTCAGGGGTCTTCGAAAGGAGACTTTTTGAGCCTCCTACTTCGACAGCAGTGCATGCTTCAGTTTAGGGTTTTGGGTTATGTCGCCGCATGTCGCTGTTGATGCCATCGGGGGGCGGGGGCAGTTCTGATCCGCTAACCGGTCGCTATGGATTTAGAGTTTCGGAAGGTATTTTTCGCTTAGGGTGTGTGTCTCATGTTTCGGAAATGCCATGAAAGGCCTGGTCGTTCCATTGTGTCGTGAAGTACGAGTGGCTGTCGGATTGGTGACAAGGTCATGGCCGTAGCCCTTTTTCAACGATGGTTAACATCCCAGGATAAGACAGCAGCTTGCCCCACTAAGCTGTGCTTGCACATGCAGGATTTTGTACTGGGGCCTGCGCCTGTGGATGCAGCATGATGCTGCTGTGCCATCCTGCTGGGCTGCAGAAGGGCCAGGGGACCCAACACCAGACAAACCCATCAACCCATGACTGCCACTGAAAATCCCAAGCGAGTGCAAACTCTTCGACAAGAGACCACTTCTGGAAAAAAAACACGCAAGTGTTCCGGGTGGGCTGCTGAGGTATGAAACTCGACCGAAGACATCAGAG